CCTGTCCCTTCTCTTTCCTTCCCTTCCTCCCCATCTCTTTCTCTGTCCTTCCTTCCCTTCCTCCCCATCTCTTTCTCTGTCCTTCCTTCCTTCCATCTTTCCTTCCTCCCTCCCTCCCTCCCTGTCCCTTCTCTTTCTCCTTCCTTCCCTCCCTCTCCCCCCCATCCCAGTTTTCTCCTTCCACTCCTTCTTTCTCCTCTTCTTCCTCCTCCTTACTCCCTTCTCCTCCCTCTCCCTCTCCTTCCTTCCTACCTGCCTCCTACACTCCTTCCTTCTCTTTCTCCTCCCTCCCTCCCTCTCTCCCCATCCCAGCTTTCTCCTTCCTTCCCCTCTTTCTTTCTCCTCTTCCTCCTCCTCCTTCCCCCCTTCCCCTCCCTCTCCTTCCTTCCTACCTGCCTCCTACATTCCATCTCTTTCTCCTTCCTCCCTCCCTCCTTCTCTCCCTCCACCTTCACTTTCACTATTAGATACATTTCCTACATGTGTGTCTTTCCGTTTCAGAAACAATCATTCTCTTAAGAACAGGCTGCCAATTATAATCTCTTGTCTATTTGTTTTCCTCTGTTTATTCATTCATTTATTCATTCGTTTATTCATTCGTTTATTTATTTCCTTTTGTCATTTAAAGTCGCCCAGCCGGCTCTCATGCCTTAGGCGGGACTAGAACGCAGAGTCTTTACAGATTTCATCTCTGTTGGTTCAACGGACTTTTAAAAAGAAAAACTATAGAGTGTTTAAACTTCTAAGGGAGATTACCAAGAGCCGGGAAGTGGCTGGCTTCTGATCTGTGAGTTTAAATAAAAGGGTGTTTTTTTTTCCCCCCCTCTCTGTCCGACTTTCCTCGGTAGGAATGCCATACGGAAGCCGGGAAAATTCTCTCCTGTACTCGGAGATTCCCAAAAAGGTACGAAAGGAAGCCCTCCTGCTGTTGTCGTGGAAACAGATGCTGGATCATTTCCAGGTGAGGACGCGTGTGCACCTGGCCCTCTGGGTTTTCAGCCAGCTCGGGACACAGGCGGTCCTTGCTTAACGAACATTTTTTGGCCTCTGTGTCTTAAACAGCGCGGTCATTCAACAGGGCGCCACATGACCATAGGCCAGCTTTAGCGATGTCACTTTTCCCGGGGTGTCATTAAGCAAAACGCCGTTACAAGTTCGCATGACTCTCACTTGCGAAAGGGCCGTGGGAACGCCGTGGGCAGTAGTTAAGCGAGGAAATCGTAAAATTGCCTTTCTAGCGCCATCGTGAATATGAATCGTTGCTAAACAGGACCACCGTTAAGCGAGCACTCCCTGTATGGCCCTTTACTTAAAGGGAAATGTGTTTATTTCTTGGACCCCTCTAAATGCACAAGAAGGCCCTCCGTTATTTCCTCCCCGCCAGTTCTTTCCCTCTCGCCCAGGCAACAACTTGGGACGGTCGCTAAACAGGGCCGTCGGGAAGCGAGGACTGTCTGTATTGTCCTTTACGTGAAGGGAAAGGCATTTATTTCTTGGGCCCCTCTGAATCCACACAAGAGCTCCATTCCTTCATCCCGCCGGTTCTTTTCCCTCCCACCCAGGCAACACCCTGGAATGCCCGCTAAACAGGACGGTCGTAAAGCGAAGACTACCTGCATTGTTCTTTCCTTAAAGAGGAATGCATTTATTTCTTGGACTGCTCTAAAAATGCGCAACATTATTTCCTCCTCCTGGGTTTTTCCCCTCTCGCCTGGGCAACCGCTTGGAACGGTCGCTAAACAGGACCGTCATCAAGAGAGGACTGTTTCTATTCTCCTTTATTTAAAACAGAGGTCTCCAAACTTAGCTATGCTGGCTGGAGAATTCTGGGAGTTGAAGTCCACAGGTCTTAAACTTGCTAAGTTTGGGAGCCCCCTGATCTAAAGGGAAATGCTTTCATCACTTGGGCCTCTCTGAATCCACCCTGCGGCTCGGTTCTCGTTTTTTTTAATCCCGCCGTTTCTTTCTCTCCGCCCCAGGCAACTCCGCACCACGGGATGTACTCCAGGGAGGAAGAGCTGCTGAGGGAACGGAAGCGCCTCGGCGTCTTCGGCATCACCTCCTATGACTTCCACCGAGAGAGCGGCCTCTTCCTCTTCCAGGCCAGCAACAGCCTCTTCTACTGTCGAGACGGAGGCCAAAATGGCTTCATGGTGAGCGTTTCCTTCTCCCGGCTGGATATTCCCTTCCTCACTACCCTTGAGTGACCAGCGGCCTTTTTTTTGAGCGAATGAATGAATAAATTAATGAATTCTTTATCGGCCAAGTGTGCTTGGACACCCGAGGAATTTGTCTTGGTGCAAATGCTCTCAGTGCACATAAAAGAAAAGAGACATTCGTCAAGAGTCGAGAATCATCAGGTCCGACACTTAATGATAGTCATAGGGTACTATTAGGGTACTATTACACTTAATAATAGTCAGAGGGTACAATAAGCAATCAAATCATACAAGGAAACAGTCCATATAAACCGTAAGGATACAAGCGACAAAGTTACAGTCATACAGTCACAAGTGGGAGGGGATGAGTGATAAGGAGTGATGAGAAGGTTAGCAGTAATAGTAGTGCAGGCTTTGTAAATAGTTGGACAGTGTTGAGGGAATTATTTGTTTAGCAGAGTGATGGCATTTGGGGAAAAACTTCCCTTGTGCCTAGTTGTTCTGGTGTGCAGGGCTCTATAGCGTCGTTTTGAGGGTAGGGGTTGAAACAGTTTATGTCCAGGATGTGAGGGGTCTGTAAGATATTTACACAGCCCTCTTTTGGGGGCCCCATGATCCAATTTGTGCTCAAGTAGGAATAAATACAGGGAGCCCTCAACGTATGACCACAATAGAGCCCAAAATGTCCATTGCTAAGCGAGAGGGCGGTTCAGTGAGTCTTTCCCCGTTTTATTACCTTCCTCGCCTCCATTGTTCAGGGAATCACTGCAGTTGTTAAATGAGCAAGACAGTGATTAAGAGAATCTGGCTTCCCCCATGGACTTTGCTTGTCAGAAAGTCGCAAGAGTGGATCACGCGACTCCGGTGTCAGGATTCCGGCAGTTACCCCCATTTAAATCATGAGCCAAACTTCTAAAACTTCAAAAGGATTTATTGGGAGTAAATATGTCCAGCACTGCCTGTAATGTAGCCAATTCTGAGATACATAATTCATTGTCACCCTGGGTTTCCCCCCCCCCCCGGGTGTATCTTAATTCATATTCTCCAATGGGACACCTCCATAGCCCAGAGTCATCAATCATGCTCTCCAGTTAGATATTTGCCCGGCAGAAACGTCAGTCACCTGGTTACAATCTCTGAAAAACTATTTATGGAATGCACTTTTGATTTCCAAGCTGCCACGCTGCTCCCCCCTCCCTTTCTGTTGGCAACTCTAAAAAGACCATAGGGATATTTTACGAGTTGACATCCAGGACACGGCAACCATCATAAATTCAAGTTAAAATGCCAAGCATCCATGTTTTGATCATGTGACGGAGGGGATGCTCTGATAATTGTAAATGCGAGGACCGGTCGTAAGACGCTTTTTTGCAAACGAACGGTTGTCGGTTGCGGAGTAACTGGTCAGTTAAAAAGGCGATTTATTTGGCTCCAGATCTCTCCGATGAAGCCGCTGGAAATCCAGACGCAGTGCTCGGGGCCGAGGATGGACCCCAAAATCTGCTCGGCGGACCCTTCCTTCTTCTCGTTCATCAACAACAATGACCTGTGGGTGGCGAACATCGAGACGGGGGAAGAACGGCGCCTGACCTTCTGCCAGAAAGGTACGCCGATGTCCAGGCCTTGGATGGGATGTTCCCATGCATGGAAGGCAGCATTGGTCTCAGTGCATTGATGCACAAAAATCGGTTCACATCCGATGGTGTCTTGTTTCTCCGAAGCCTTCCGGGGACCGTTTTTATTCATTTAGAGAATGTGTATAGATTTATACATAACTAACAACAATTTATAACAAATGTTATAAAGTACCCCATCACATACGTGTGCCAGTTTAGTGTATTGGTTAAGGCACCAGTCTAGAAACAAGAGCCGGTGAGTTCTAGTCCCGCCTTAGGCATGAAAGCAGACTGAGTGACTTTGGGCCAATCTCCAGGAGACGCTGAGTTCTAGTCCTGCCTTGGGCATGAAAGCCAGCCTTAGCCCAACCCACCACACAAGGTGGTTGTTGTGGGGAAAATAGAAGTTGGAAGGAGTATTAGATATATTTGCCACTTTGAGTTATTTATAAATAATAGAGGTAGGATAGATAGGTAGGTAGGTAGATGACAGATAAGTATATAATAGGTAGGTAGATGATAGATAGATAGATAAATAGATAGATATAGTAGATGATAGAGATTATAGATACATATAGATAGGTGGATAGAGATAGATGGATGAATAGAGGAAAGGAGGATAGATGATAGAATTATTTTATTTTATTTATTTTATTTATTTTTATTTGTCAATTGCTTACAGGATAATAGGTATAAGTAAAACCATAGTTATGAATACATGCATATAAGAAAAATAAAAAAAATAAACAATAGGACAGGGACGGTAGGCACATTGGTACGCTTATGCATGCCCCTTACAGACCTCTTAGGAAAGGGGTGAGGTCAATAGTAGACAGTCTAAGGTTAAAGGTTTTGGGGTTTGGGGAAGAAACCACAGAGTCAGGTAGGGTATTCCAGACATTGATTGATAATTGATTGATAACAAGATTGATAGAAAAATTGATTGCTAAAGGAGAAGGGAGAGGTTTTATGTCCCAGAGACCCAAGACAGAGGCACACTTTGTAAAGGTGTGCGACTTTCCTCAAGGCAGGATGAATTACATACCCTGTTTCCTTGCGCGCCTCCAAAGAAAGGGCGATTTCGGTTCTTCCACCTTTTAAGGATAATTTTTGATTAACTTTCTCCTGACCCTCATGGCTAAAACATGACACTGAACCTGGGTTTATTTTCCAACTGAGATGCCCTGCAGAGCAACTTACCTGTATGCCAAAGGTGGAATCCAAGGCCCCCCTCTCAGAAAGCTGAGCTGATGGGAACCTGGGAATAAGAAAGAACAAGACAGCATGACACAATAGCCAGTTAAACAGCAAATTCTTATGGTTTGAAGCTTTGGCGCACTCTTTCTCGGGGCTTCTATAATAAATACAGGCGGTCCTTGACTTTACAACAGTTCGTTTAGTGACAGTTTAAAGTAACCACCACCCCGCAAACAGTGACTTATAACTGTTTTGCACAATTACGACCCTTGTAGCTTCCCCGTGGTCATGTCATCAAAATTCAGACGCTTGGCCACTGACTTGTATTTACAACGGTGGCAGCGTCCAGGGGTCATGTGCTCACTTTCTGACCAGCAAAGTCAATGGTGGAGACGGATTCACTTTGACAATGGTGTTACTGGCTTAACTGCGGCGATGCCGTTCACCCCTGTGAAAGGAAGGACGTAAAATAGGGCGAACCCCACTTACCCGCTGCCTTGCTTATCAGAGGAAACGGTGGCCGTACTTTGAGGACTACCTGTAGGAGGCAACCATATTTGGCTAGGCTAACTTAGTTGAGGTGTTCTGACCCAGCTCCCCAAACAAGACAAACCCTCTTGACGTGAACTCAAAAGATTCCTTGATTAGGAACGCCGACAGTCCCAGCAAAAAGTTTCTCTCTCAACGCAGGCTAACAAGTCCAGCTGGCTGGAAGATGAATCGTTGTCTGTCACACCGATTCACCTCCGCCTCCTGCCTTTTATCCCCAGAGCAAGGGTGGGGCTTTGCTAGCAGCGGTGGCTCTTCCGTCCCAAGGACCGGCCCATAGATTTCCACTGCTCTCCTCTCCTCTGCCTTCTGTGTATCCACGTGCCAGGCACTGGACTCGGCTGTTCCTCCTCTTCCTCATCAGCCACCACCAGACCTGGGGGCCATTGACTCTCCATCTGAGGGCTGACGGACGGCCCAGGCTCCACCTCTCTCTCTCTCTCTCTCTTTCTCAGCCAGCTCTATTTCCTCTTCCCCCTCGGTGCTCTCAGGTTGCCCTGATGCTGACTTTGACTCTCAGGCCTCCTCCTCTTCCTCCTCCTCCGATTTGGCTTCTGGAGGGACTGGCAGCCGACAGGCCACAACATGAGGGTTTTAAGACACTCCATATGTTGAAAATGGAGGTTTTTCTCTCCCCTCAGGTTTATCCAGCGTGTTGGACGATCCCAAGTCAGCCGGTGTGGCCACTTTCGTCATCCAGGAAGAATTTGATCGCTTTACAGGGTACTGGTGGTGTCCAATGTCTTGCCAAGAAGGTACGTGGTCCTGGCTGCCGCCTTCTCACCACTGAATTAAGGTCTGAATGATCCTCAGCAACCTGGTCTAAACTACCCAGTAGGGCTGTGCAAGGGCTACCCAGTAGGGCTGTTCATTTAGTGACCGTTCAAGGTCACAGTGGCATCAATAATCTGGGTCCGTGTGTGTGTACACTATGAATTTATATATACGCATACATGTATGTATACGTACAAGATGTATATACATCTTGTGTGTATATCTACACACACGCACATGGTGTGTGTGTGTGTGTGTATATTAAGTTTTCGTGGGTACTTACATGTATGGTATTCAGCTTTGTTC